ATACAGTTGCGAATCCTCCTTTTCCCCATTCAGTGAAAACTCTGAACTCATCATAATCAATCCAAGATAATTTAAATTTCTCATCGTCTAATATTCTCTTAAGTTCAGGATTGATATTATCTGGTGATTTTTTAGTTTTCAAAAGACTTCTATATTTAGTGAACCAATAATTTGCCTTCTGAATGTCTCTTTTTGTACCATTACCGTTACGATAACATCGAGCAATATTACTAATTGCCACTTTAACACCCATATTAGCAGCTTTTTCATAGTATTCAAATGCTTTATTATAATCTCGATCAACCCCTAATCCATTTTCATAACAACGACCAAGATTACATATTCCGGTACCATTATCCAAATCTGCAGATTTCTTACTATATTCAAATGCTTTCTGATCATTTACTTCTACCCCAATTCCATCATGATAACAGTTACTTACACAAACCATCGCATCCGAATTCCCTAATTCAGCTGCTCTCATATAATATTCAAAAGCCTTCTTTTCGTCTTTCTTAATACCAATACCATAATAATAATTGTAACCAAGATTAAAAAATTGGTTAGAATCCATTATTTTTAAAGAGGAAAAGAAAGAATAACGCACTAAATAAATGCAAACTTTAATTGAGGGCATTTAATGTACGTCAGAGTAATACAAAAGCTACAACAATAAATTGCGTTTTTGTAAAGTTCATTAGTAGATTTATATTATTATATCAAAAACAAAATTTTCATGTTAGGTCGAATGCATATTTGTATTTTAGTGTAACAAAACAAAACCAATTAAAGTTACGGATTACGTAACTTTCCCAAGCCCATTTTTCTAAAATTGACAATCCTTTTTGCCATCAAGAATAATAATGATAACCCATTTTCCGGAAATATAATTTAGTCGATAACAATTTTTTCGGTAAGTCATTTATATATTGCCATTATCCGAACATTAAAAAACTATTGACTACAGTACTTTTATTTTATTTTCATGTGGATCAATCGGAAATTAGTCTGACTGGAAAAAAACGTAACTTTAGAACTTATGAAGACCTTTCAGAAATTCGTTTGTTAGAAAATTAGGTTAACAGTATTATGAGTTAGAAAATGATATATTTTAGAAAGTAAGCATTGGAAGGTTGAGCAGCAACATCTCTATAAAGTCTCATTTTCTGTGGCCCCGAGGGATATATTTATAAAGTTACTATGCAATATAAATAGCATATTATAAAATATCATGTTTAGATATTTTTAAAATAAATTAGTCATATGATAACCATAAGGAAATTGCTATGTGTATGGTGAAACATATTTTTTATATTAAGCAGAAGTAAATAAAAGAATTATGTAAAAACAAAATTCATTATAAATGTTTACATTATGCAGTGAAGAGAGTAATAGTTTATATCTGACAAAAATTAAATGTCTAAAATTTATAAAAGCTAAATTTGTGTCGGATTTAAAGAATACTGTCAGCATGATAATTTCGTATATAAAATTTAAAACCGAGATATTTTATATAGTAATGTAGATAAAGTAATATTAACGTAATAATATTCATTCAGGTATAAATAGGTATTTCGGTATTTACAACACCTTCAGATGATGAAACAAAACCATTAAACGACCAAATGGCAATTTTACGCCTAATACCAGCTTGATCTTGACTGAACAACTGTTGCTGAAATCCAATACTCTTAAAACATACTCCCCAAGAAGGAGCTCTAATAGCGTTATAAACATTCCTAACAGAAATAAATAGTTACCATTTCAGCAAGCACAATTTGTACAATAACTGGATGACCATTTGAATCATTTTCCTCCGTACGTTTACCGACATTCATCCAGTTATTGTTAATTGAATAATAACTAATATCCCTTTTGACACCAAATTCGTACAAAGTGACTTTCAAAAGGAACATGTAATTGATTACTTTGATATAGTGATCCAATATGATTGATTTTGATTCCATTCGAATCCTCTCGTTGAGGCGATTCAAATGGCATCAAAATCATCAAACTTAGATTACTAACTATATATATATATATATCTTTTCTTTTGTGAGCATGTGCGACTCTGTAAAATTTGAATATACTGTATATACAATAATTTTTTAAAAAATAATATTTAGGGATTTAGGGAAATTACAAATAAGGGCCCCAAACTGAAAATAATTACAAATAAGGACCCAAAATGAAAATAATTACAAATAGAGGCCCAAAATTTGAAAATTAGGGCCCCAAAAAAATTTGCCCATCGATCAATGACTCGAATGTGACGCATAATATAGTCATTAATTATCAAGCGCATAAGAAATGTAATAATGATAAATTCATAATTTAAAGATAAATTTAAATGCGTAATAAAAATGTACGTACTTCTTCTAATCCATTCTTTCACTAAACATGACTTTAAAAAACTTGCATAAAACAATTGCCATGGCAGATACATTACAAATCGGCAATACTTTTATTAATATAAAAAATGTTCGCTCAGCCTTAGATAGTTACTCTATCAAATCCTCTACATCTTATAAGTTTAGAACTAACAAACCAAACAAGCTACTTGCTGTTTGTCCTACGAATGAAAATAGCTCATGCCCTTTTACTGTTTCAGCTAACAAATGCAAAGATAGTTTTATTAATATAATAAAGTTGATTCCTCATGATCCAACTCGTTAAACTTTATGGAATCATTAACCAGTTGTGCAGAATCATGTGTTCTTGATAATGAAACTTTTCTACCACCTACAATTAAACAAGCAGGATGGCTACGAAAAACTCAGTTGCGTAGTCGAGGAGAAACTGCACCAGAAAACCAGGTTACTTGTGGAAAATGTAATAAAAAGGTTCATAATTCGCGTACATGCAATCGAAGACTTAGAAATAGAAAATAGTATGTGTATTTTATTTAATATTAAATAGTTTCTATAACATGTAATTAGGCTTGCGTAGTAATATTCAAAATTGCAATTTATTTATTTTTTAATGAATTCGATTCTAAAACGTCTAATTAATCATGACACTATTATGTTTAAACCGGCTTTTTTAGCTAACAATATATTTGGGCCCTTATTTGTAATAATTTTCAAAAATCGGACCTCTATTTGAAATTATTTTCAGCTTTGGTCCCTTATTTGTAATTTCCCCTAATATTTATTATATAATTTAGAAAAATTATAAAATATTTTAGATAAATATGTGAAAAAAAACCCCAAACAACAAAAAAAAACATATAACTACATTTAAATCACTTCGTAAAAATTATCGGTGTTATAGGCTTATTCTTGATAAACAATTAAAACAAATTCTTTTACTTGTAACCATAGCTTAAAATTATAAATCAAAATAAATATTTAAGCTTAATAGTAGTAGTCAAATTTCTGAAAATATGTATAAGTACTTAAAGTGAAGTTATAATTGTTATATTTCAACGTGTTATGTTTGTGGAATTTTATTGGTTTAGATCACATGCAAACCTTAATTTGATTGAACAATAAACGGAATTTTAAGTATGCTCTTGTACTGTTACCTATCTGGATTAACATTTTGTACTACGATCTGGCTATTATATGTGGTGTTATTAAATTAAGTGTCACGTAGTACGTATATTATATGCATTTTGCATGATTTACCATTCATGTTCATAATTCTTTGAACAAAATTAGTCTAGCAAAAAGTCATGGCAAATATACCAGAAGAATGGCTTGAAAAAGCTATTTCAGATAGACACATTAATTATCTCGAATAAAATAAATTTACTGATCCTACAGTGATTGGTATTGGAGGTTTTGGAAAGGTCTTTAAATGCGAGTTGAAAGATTGTGAATTAACGGTTGCTCTTAAATGTCTTAAAGTCGATACCAATTTAAGTTTAGATGAAAAAACTATAAAAATTTTATTAATGAGGTATTATTTATTGCATTAAGTCTTTAATCATTAATATAATAAATACATATTAAATTCTTATAATTCATATAATTAGCTTAAACTGCTAAGAAGCGTTAGTAATCATCCAAACATTATTTCTTTCTACGGAGTCACTAAAGGTATATATACTAAATTTCTGGGTATTAATCACAATATATTAAAATTGGTTATTATATTTACAATATTTAATGCAAATATTTAGATTACAATGGGCATTATCACATGGTTTTGCAATATGCGAACGAAGGAACTTTACGAGAATACTTAAAAGCAGAATTTTACAATGAACAGATAAACAATGTATTGCTAGAGAAATAGCTTTCGGGCTTTTATTCTTACATGATAAAAATATTGTTCATAGAGACTTGGTAAGTACTGCATATTGCTAGATTTTATATTGATTGTTGTAGGGAATTTTTAATTCATTAATGCTCTAATACTAATTTAGCATTCGAAGAATATCTTAATTCATCAAAAACAACCAAAAATTGCAGTATTGGATTATCAAAACAGATAAATGAGACATCTATGGTGACTTCAAACTCAATTGCTCATGGAATGCTGGCTTATTTCAAACCACAATGTTTTATTGTACCCAAATACAAACGTGACAAGAAATCTGACGTTTATAGTTTTGGAATGATACTATGGGAAATTTCAAGCGGTAGACCACCTTTCGAATCCTTCGATCAATTAATATACCTATATTTGTATTCCAAGGGAAAAGAGAAGAGCCTATCGAAGGCACTCCACAAAAATATATTGAACTTTACAAACAATGCTGGGATACGGATTCTGCTAATCGACCAGAGATAAAATTAATTCTCAACACTTTAAAACAACTCGCCAATGAAGGCTTATATCAATTTACCACTAACGAACATTTAATCAGAGATAATCCAACCTCTTCAAGTCTTGTTAATTTACATATTTATCCACATGAGATTATGTCATAAACTCCATTTTATTTAACATCATCCCACTTGATTTTCCCAATGCGATAAATTCAAATATTTTAGTGCAGAACAACAGTACTATTGAAAGATTAAGAAAGGAAGTACGTAAATGTTTCGAACAATGCAAATTTCTCAAAGCATTAGAGCTTTTTGAAGAAATTCTCAAAAGCAACCAGCATAGTCCCGAAGATCAAAAAAGTGCATCAACTTGGAACCTTTCTGGAAACAAATGTGGATTGGAAAATT